AGACGCAGGCGTTTTGAGCACGGGGTGAGTGGGGTGGCGAGGCCCGGGGCAGCGCGGGGAGCAGGCGGGGAGCCCCAAGTCCAAAGCTCTGTCTGCCCTCCTCAGACCAACGGGTCGGCACTGTTCTCAGGACCTGGAGCACTGGAACTGGGACCCACAGGCAGGTCCCCGAGTGGCCGCAGCTGCTTATGCATCAGCTCTCAACTGTCTGCCAGGGACGGTCACCCCAGCAGTGACAGGCGCCAGGCCACACGGGATTCCCTCTGACGAGCAGCACAAACACATGCAACTCAGCGTGCGTCCCCAGGCCCCCAAAGACAGCCAGGAGCAGCAGGCGGGACCCTCGTGCGCAAGGGGCAGCGCCCACACGCTGTAGCCGCTCCCCGCAAAGGACGGACACGAGCGCACCGGCCTCCCTTCCCTCCCCAGCGCACCGGAAACTCCTCACGGGCTAGATAAGGAGCAGCCCCGGCTGGTACGCCCTGGCCCCGGCCGCCCCCACTCGCAGCCTCAGGTTTTATGGGCCTGCGGGTCTTAAGATCCATTAGCGAGGTGAGGACTGGAGCCGGGGGTGACGGCCACGGCTCCCGGGGTCGTGACAGCAGGACGGGCCACGACGAGGAACACCACGTGGCTGTCTGCGACAGGAGGGTCATGATGCCGCTGCGCCCCTCGGGGCTGGACGCCACCCAGGGAGACCCCGCGCTGGACCCCAGGAGGACGGCCGCCTCTGACCTCGCTCTCCGGGCTCGTCTGTTGGCCTCGGTACAAACCTGCCGTCACTGGGGAGGCCAGCGCCGCTGCACAGCCTCGGTCTCAGCCGCTGCCCTTAACGTACACTAATAAAGCCTTTGTTTCTCGGGGTTCTCTCAAGGTGACAGCGTTTTAAACACGCTGTTTCGCATCATTACAGGCAAGTAACAGGCAAGCCTGTGCCCGGGGAACCAGCATCTCACAGAGCAAACATCGCATGCGGTTAAAGAAAGCCGCTACTGGCGTCCCGCATGTAGGTCGGGGCAGCATCACTGCCTAGGAGGTGACCACAGACACCTCACCCAGGCTGCGGGTGGAGCGGCACCCCCTGTCCAAGCCTGGGCGTCACCTGCCCATCCCGCCAGAGCCCGGCCACCTTACCCCGGCGGGCCCAATGCGCTCAATCCCCCACTTAAGGGCAGAGGCTGGCTTTTGTTTCCTAAAATTTATTTATTCAGGCACACAAGAAACTGGGGTATAGGCCAGAGGGGCGGGGGGCGAGGGCTGAGAGGGCTCCCCACAGACAGAGTGGGGAGCAGAACAGGTGGATCCACTGAAATCCACTGCTGAGGGGGCAGCGGGGGACAGGCAGGGTCCGCTGCGCCCTGGGGGGTCACTCCCTGGCCGGGGATGGGCTCAGGCCACAGTGGCTGCGGGCGGATTCCTAGCGCTGACTTTAACCCCTGTGCCACCAGGGAGTCCCCCTAAGCTCCCTCTTAAGGACAAACCCCCATTACCTCACTCCTCCGCCCGCAGTCGCTCAGGTCCACCTGCCGAGTGCGCTCAGCCCGCAGGTGCCACGTCCAGGAGGCCCTGGCTGCAGGGGACAGGCGAGGGCGCTGGGCTTCCGGCTGGGCTGCGCAGGGGGCCCCCTTCCCCACAGGACCCAGGAAGTCGGCCCGGACCATCTGCGTGGCCCTCAGGGGCATGTCTGGAGACAAGCACTTGCATCCGTCAGCTCTCGGCCCGCCTGGCCGCACAGCTCGCCAGATGTGTGACTGCACCGGGGAAGCAGCAGCTCGAACAAAGACGAGCAGAGCAGGGCTTCCCCGGAGGCTTCATCTGCAGCTGCCGCTCCAGCCCTGCAGCAGGCTGCCCCTCGGGGCCAGGGGCCGGGGGCGGGGGCCTGTCGGAGCTGGCTGGTGGCAGGGAGCTAACAGGTGGAGCCGCTCCTGCGGAAACAGCAGGCTGCAGCCCGCACTTCCCGGGCGAGGGCCGGCCTGACCTTCACGCCCTCCCGCGTCCCAGGCGTATGGCGTCTCCAGAACAACACCAACACAAACAATGGCCTTTTCCTAGCTGCTATCTGGACTCATTTATAAAAAGCAAGTGGATTCCAAAACCCTGAGTGTATAATTAGTTCAAAATGTTTCAAGCGAGAAGCTCTGAGTTACAATGTTTCCTTGTATCCTGGTGCCTTGTCACTAAGAGAGTGCTAAAATGTAGCCGGTTATTCCAGCAATTTTACTTTCACCCATGGTCTCTCTCCACCAAAGCGTTTTAGGACGGCTATTGCTACTATTATTACTAAAGACTCTATCTTGCTACTCAAATTGAATGATACAAATCAAGGAAACCAGAAAGCAAACAGGGCCGCTCTATTGCTGCAGCCAGTGGCCGGGCCAGCAAGGACACCCCCAGCTTGCAGCCTCGGACCGGGCCGCCTGCGGCGCGGAGAGAGCACGAGCCGGGCAGCGACACGTGCAGCGCAGTGACTCAGTCGTCACCTGACCTTTCTTTGGACTGAATCACACTTCTGTCAACAGACGCCACTAACAGGTGTGCCTCAGGTGACGGGCACCTGCGCCCTCGAGCGCACGCGCTCTCTGGAGCGCCCCAGGGCTCGCGAGGCCAGCTGGGCACCCGGGCGGCGGCAGGGGCGGAGCGGGACCCAGAGAGGAAGCCGGCGCGCAGAGCCTGCGAGGCCAGGCAGGGCGGCCGCGCCGACCCCTCGCTCACCGGGGCCACCCGCGAGTGGGCTGGGCATGCCAGCGACACCCGCCGCCGCTCCCTGCTGCACGCGGGGACAAGGGCGGAGCAGGTAGCTACCGCTAGGGCGAGGGAACCCACTACCCCACGCCAGGCAGCGGTTCCTTCAAAGCGCCCATGCAAGGAGCCTCCCCACCGGCACCCCCTTTCAAATTGGAAGAAATTCAGATCTGAACGCGTCGCGGCTGGAATTTAAAGAAAGGTGCTGGCAAACGTCACATCGCAGGTGAGGAGCCCAGCCGTGGCCCCGTGCGGAAGGCTGACGGCGGGGGTTCCGTTCACAAGTGTTAAGCAGGCTCGTGCGCCCCGGCGCCGCTGTGCTGAGGGCGACCATGCCAGGCGGCGCTGGGGCCCGTCTGGCCACCCGCGTCCTCCGCGCTCACGCGGCCACTGCCACGTCACAGGCCGGGGCTCGGGAAAAGCTGTGGCCCTCGACCTACAGCCTCACTGGCTCCCAGCCTGGGGCCCCCTGGGCCCGGACACCACTTGGAGGCTGTCACCCTCGGCCCGACGCCTCACTGAAGGAACACCTACGCCCGCCTAACCGCCCTCACGGGCACAAGTGCAGAAAAGCGGCGAGGCTAAGGGGAGCCACGCAAGCAGCGGGCTGTGCCTTTCGCTCACAGACCCTGCCTGCAGTCACTGTACAGCGCAGGCCTTTGAGGCGAAGCCGGGTGACACATCTGGTTCTGGGGCTCCAGGGTCACCTAGAACTTTGGAATAAAGCGGAGGACGCGCCAACGACGGGTAAGGTCTAGACCAAAGCCACCCATCCCCGAGACGGGCTGGCCATCAGGGCAAACCTCCTTCTTCTAGAGCTGCCAGCGGTCCTGACTGGCCCAGAGAAAGCCCAGCACCTGCCGTACCTCACCACTCCACGCCCACCTGAAGGCACGAACCCCGGGCTCCTGGTGATTCAGCCGGGGCCTGGGGTACACGGGCAAACTCCTCGCTCTAAGTAGCACCCGCGTGCCTCCCCAGCCCCGCTCAGGCAGACCTGTCTGGAACCCAGGCAGCTCACTGCTGTTGCCTGTAAGCCCATGAGACCGAGGATGCCGCCAGGGAGCGGAGCCCGCGGCCGCACAGCCAAGGCCCTCAAGGTGAGCCGTGAGCCAGGCTCCGGCCTCTGAAGGAAGCTCCCCTGGGCAGGTGGAGACACGCGGCTGTGGCCTGCAGGTAGCTCTCAGTCCGCGCTCGCATGGAGGAAGGCCGCTGTGACAGGCCCGGGCCACGACACCCCCACGCTCTGAGGGGCGTTCAAACAAGCCCAGAACGTGCCGTCTCCGCCTCAGTCTCACTCTGCCTCGAGACCTGAGCACAGGCAGCGGCTCCTTCCCTCGGGCCGGGCTGCACACAGCCGGGCGGCCGCTAACCCCACGTCTGCTGGGCGAGGACCCTGCTCCGGGTGCTGGGCGACCCGCGAGACCCTGAAGCTCGGCCCACCGGCGGGGCCCGCCTGCCAGCGGTGGCGGGTGCGTACGCCCAGGGCTTCCACTAGCTGCCTGGTGGCCAGCGGCCGGGCAGTACCCGCCTCCGCCCACGCGTAGGGTGTGGCAGCCTGAGCACAGCCCCCTTCCTTGGGGGTGGCGGGCAGGCACACAGGGAGACCAGGCTTGCGCTTTGTCACTTCTGGGTGACCCTGACCATTCAGAGGCCACAGCAGTGCCCTGAACCTGGCAAGAGAGTGCCACCACACCGGCCTCCGAGCCTCCCGAGAGGCCCCTGGGGGCATCAGAGAACTGGAACTCCAGGACCAGCACTCCAGCACTCCAGTGCTGCTCCGCCTGACTCCGGCACACGCGGCTGGGAACACGCCCTGTGCGGGGACAGCCCTCTACCAGGAGCCGAGCCGAGAAACGCCCATCCGCTGAGGGCACAGAAATGCTTTTGGGGAGAGGCGGCTTGTGGCCAAGCCGGGAAAGGAGCTAACAGATGAGTCCGCTGCCAGGCGGAGGGGCTTCAGGGGCCCAGGGCTAGTCCCTGGGAAGTGCCCTCAGGTGGGCAACGGGTCAGGTGAGCGCTCCCACGCAGGTTCCCGCGGCCACGAGACCGCCCACAAACCGGCCACACAGCTGGAGCAAGACACAGACCACCCGCGTGAGGCTGGGGAGAGCTTGCTCCCCAGTTCACCCGGGGTGGCCCCTCGCGGGCGGGAGCCCTGGGCAGGCAGGCAGATCTCCCCAGGCTCTGCCCGCAGGCTGCGCCGGGCGCCAGGCCTGTTCCCAGCGCTGCCCTCCCCTCCGCGGCCCCCAGCCCACCTCTGCGCGGGGAACCATCGATGCTCTCGGCGCTGGACGAGTGCCCATCCGCCCGGGGCTGCCTCAGGCTGCTGAAGTAGCCGCGCGGCTGCCGGGAGGCGCCGCTCCGCGGAGAGGGCCCACCGCCGGGGGCGCCGTCCCTGCGGGCGAAGATGCCGCTGAAGAAGCGCAGCAGCCGGTGCTCCGAGGCGGCGCCGGCACCGGCGGCCGCGGCCCTGGCGCGCTCCAGCCGCTGCAGGTCGCTGTTGTCCAGCGTGCGGTTCTTGCTCTTGCTGCGCTCCCAGCGCTCCAGGTCCGAGAGCGCGTCGCTCTTGCTGAGCACCTCCCCGACGTCCAGGGTGTTGCGCTTCTCCGAGGCGGGCTGTGCCGCGCCCACGGGCTCGGGGTCGGCCCCGGAGTCTTCCGCGGCCTCGCTGTCCGCCGCCCAGGCCAGGCTCCCGGAGCTGCTGTGGCGCCGCCCGCG